TACATTACAACGTGACGAATATCGACGATGTCTGGGAAGCTGATTTAATAGAATTGCGAAATCTGCGAAGCTATAACGATGGATATTGTTATCTGCTGACGATTATCGATGTGTTCAGTAAATTNGCATGGGTAGAGACGCTGCGAGACAAAACGACTGCTCAAGTCCTTCATGCGTTCCAACGTGTGCTCTCGAGAAACGAGGGATGAAGACCTATATATCTACAAACCGACAAAGGTAAAGAATTTATCGCGCAACCGATGCAAAAATTTCTCAAAAAAGAAGGAATCCGTTTCCGCGTAGCGCGTAATCCCGATGTTAAAGCAGCCGTGATCGANCGTTTCAACAGAACGCTAAAGGAGCGCATGTGGCGTTATTTTACTCATAGAAATACGAAACGTTATCTCGACATCTTGCAGGATATCGTACGCGCTTACAATCACACTCGGCATACCACCATACGCATGAAACCTGCGGACATTACGCTGGAAAACGCTCACATCGCGCGCGACAATACGCAACGTCGTTGGAAAAGACACCGCGTCGAAGCGAAAACGGCTAAATACTCTGTAGGCGATCTCGTACGCATCAGTAGAGCAAAAGCCGTCTTTGAGAAGGGATACGANGCCAAGTGGAGCGAGGAAATATTCCGAATTCATCGCGTTCTCGAGTGGCGAAATCCCCGTGTTTACGAGTTGCGTGATTTAGCTGATGAGATTATAGACGGTATTTTCTACGAGCAAGAACTGTCGCCTGTTGTTAAAAATCTTCAGGAAGAAACTTTCATCGTCGACCGCGTAATAAAGAGCAGAGGGCGGGGGCGTAATAGGCAACTGTTAGTCAGTTGGCAGGGTTACCCGTCAAAATTCGACTCGTGGATCGCGGCTTCGAGTTTAACATCAATTCCACAAAACGATGATCGCGGAACACTTTTACGTAGTTCTCCCAAGCAATAGCAGCATGCTTTACTTTCCACACAACACCACCTCGTGTTTTACTACAGAATTACCTCGCCGTATAGATTTGCAGGGGAGATGGGAAGTTGCTCTCGTTGAGATTCAGTTTCCTTCTAGTTTTTTACATTTACGCGCAAATGAAGCCCTAATAACGCTCACGAACACCTTTCCTAACGGNGATGTTTCGTCGGTTGAAATCCCGATATCATCAGGAGTTTATTCTACAGAAGCCGATCTNATAGAAACTATAAATNACGCATGCTNTAGAGAGAAATCACATGTCAAATGGTCGGTGAATCCGCGCTATGGNAATAAAGTTTCTATAACGCTTACATGTAAAGAAGACAAATGCAAACAAATTCATTGTGTAAAACTTAGCGACAAATTGCGTCGTATACTCGGATTTGAGACAACTTCTGTTAATACAGCTTTCGTAATAGACAGGATTGACGGTGGCGAGAGTTTTGATCCGGTTAGCCTGGCCCGTGGTATCCCCGACAAGTTATTTGTTTATTGCGACATTTGCGAACCATACATAAC